TTTGGTGTGGTAGTAGCTGAGAGTCATTCACGACATTGTCAGAAGATGATCTTAGTTTTAAACTGTGGCCTGAAAGGCAGCAGGCCATATGTATTCCTTTAAGGAATATAGGTCTTAAATCATCACTAAGTTTTCCTCATTATAATAAAAAAAAGAAAGAAAAATTAAAAAGGTTTTGTTCCTACAAGTCTAATTTTCCTTCTTTTCCACAGGCTGTAAGCTGCGATACCCAATTGTGACCAGCAGGGGTCACATAGCTTCAACTCCAGCACTCTTCATCCCTCTCCTCCTCCTCCTCCTCCTCCTCCTCCTCCTCTTGGGCAGCAGCCTGTTCTTATTGCTCATCACCATTGGTCGCCATTGCCTCCTCCTCCTCCTCCTCCTTTCGACGACGGAGAAATGCACCACCTCGACATGGCGGCCGGTTGCCACGGTAACGCCCCGGGAGCTGTTGCTGTGGCAACAAGCTTTTTATGATGAGATGGCCAGCAGTACGTCACTGCAGCTCTCTCTCTCTCTGTGTGTGTGTGAGAGAGAGACAGCAGAGGGAGGCAGGGGCTGAGTGGGAGAATGTAACACTGGACTAATGGGAGTCTGTATTTATAGCCTGTATTAGAGAGCAGATAGGAAGTGAAAGGCCGAATGAAAGAGGAAACTCATATATGAGTTTCTGTGAGCCTCACTCTGTGCATCTGCCTGTCACTATTCCTGAGAAGCTCCTCGTCTCCCAGACTCTGTCAGTAAAGTCCTTCTAGTTGACACAGACACGAGTCCCTGCTGAAGAGTTCAGCTCTTCTATTGCCCCTCGTTCGCTTCAAAGTCCTGCAAGAATCCGCTGAGTTGTAGATAAGGTGCAATAAACTCCTGTATTTGAAAGGAGAGGCAGCTTCCAAYGAAATGTGAGCATTTTTACTGTCAGTATTCACAAGACTGTTGAGTTCTAATCTCTATAAATCATTTACCAAATTTACAATTACAGACTCTGTTTAGTCGTAACATTTCATTGTGATGAATTCGCTCAGTTAAACAACAGTTTTATGTTTTTATCCATTATTTAATACTTGTGTTGGAAAAGCATTTGAAGTTTATGAAAGCTGCATTAAAGAGATGGTGCAGATATTTTGTGTTCTGTGAAAAGGTTATGAACTTTATATGTCAGAGTTTGGGGAAACGGTTCTCTTCTGACCAGCCAGTGCGAGTGTGACCAATCCTAAAATGTAAAAATGCCGCATTAAAACTAATTAAATCTAAAAAAAATTCAAAGTGATTCATGCTAATGCTATTTTCTAAACTTTCACATCATCGTAGATTTCTATTTAAGTTACCATATTCAAGTAAGCCTCAGGGCGCACAAGAAATTCTATAGCTATTGCTGATGTGGTTTATGCTTCCAAAAAGGGTATAACTAAAAATTATGTGATGGAAAATCAAAGGATAACGTAACATTCTCATAAACTGCCATTAAACATTTGAGATTAAAGTTGTTGTAAACTGGCAGTAACCCATTTTTGTCTTGGTCATAATTCAACCTGCTTTTAGTTTGTCAGTCAGGTCAGAATTTAACTCTATTTCTTCAAACATCTGCAACATGTAAGATATTTTTTGCTCATTTCCACTGAACCTCACTTTGAAAAATGTAAGCTATCATATTGACATGTGCCCTGTTTGAACTGTAAAAATAAACAAAATTTTCTGTTTTGAACTGCTTATATAACATATGTGAAGTGGCAGAAACTATGAATAAATCATGTGTTGTTGTTTTTTCTTACATATTTAATGTGATTGAAC